GGGGCTGAACATTTACTTAGACATGCTGAATATTATTTAATAAAGGGTCTCTCATATAAAAAAGGGACATACATCATTTTCGTTATCCATAGGATCTAGTTTTGGTTTCTTTGCGGAGGTGACGATGTAGCTAATCATTCCATATCACATTTCCCATTAGCCGATTCAAGTAATGTTAGATATAGTCAAATTAACTACATTGCTCGGGTCTGGGGTATGACATCCCTAGGATGTAAGAAATTTTAATGATTCGTATATAAAATTTAGAACACCTAAATTACAAGGTTTAGAATATACATGTATGAGCCCATGATACTCGATCTTCAAATTTCTTTCTTGAAAGGGCAAGGTTTTCATCTCCTTCTTTAAAGCAATAGACGGTTCTCAATGGGACAAGCCAAATTAGGGTTATGAAGTGGAGAGGAACCTAACCTGCTATTTATAATGAAATCTAATGGGTTCTCCCATTAGATTAAAGTCTACACTTAACCGCCTTAACCACTTCAATTAAAAGATGTATATAAGCCCATCAAAATAGATCACCTAATAATATTGAGCTCATCTCATTGGACCATAAATTCAACTCATTTTTTACAAACTAAAATTAACTATCAATTAATGGCAGTCCAATATAAAAAAAATTCTAAAATTCTCTCACTTGAACAACATTAATTGTAGTCATTTAGAAATAAAATAAAATTATATATATATATTCGAAAACGACTCTCGAGCTAATCAAACAAGACTCAATGTGACCACAATAAAAAATAATATGGTCCTAAGACAATATCTCAAACACAACGCGGTCCAATAAATTTACTATTTTCAAACCATGGCGGTCTTTACATCTTTTATTGACATAGGATCAATCCATGATTACAAAAAATAACAATTCTATTGACATAAATCAAGATGTGGTAGTGTAACAAGAAAATAACATCTCAATATGTGATCTAATAATAAACATGTTATATTCATTGTTATTCCATCAAATGATTTCTCTATAACAACATATTTCAACAATAAATTAGAGAAATCCATTAACTTCAACAATAAGCTAGTATGTCTTCAAACTTAAAATCACAAGATTTTCTCAAATGGTATAATCAGAAACATACTCAATTGACAAAACAATCATACTTAAAACATACACTAAGTTTTAAGATTTTGTATAAAATGACATGTCATAAATGTGTACACATATAACATAGAAAGAATATTATGCTAACAATAAGTATAATCATCAAATATTTATTATTCATCAAATAGATGTATCTTAACCATAATAAGTATCAAATATCACATATGAAATTAAATCAACACTAAAGTTCTTAACACATAAAAAAAAAAAAAATTCCCACTAACCAAGTACATCAAAATATCCCAAAATATCCATGTTGTCAACATGTTTCTTAAAAGTTACAAGTCTCAGTCTTTTGGTTAAAGGATCACACAAGCATTGATTCTGTATCAATATGTTCAATCACAATATCACTTTTTTTCACAAGATCCCTAATAGAAAGATATTTAATTTTTATATGTTTAGATCTACTAGAATGTTTGTTGTTATTTGAGAAGAACACAGTTGCACTATTATCACAATAAATTGTTAGTGGTCTAGAGATGAAATCAACAATCATAAGTCTTGAAATAAAATTCCTTAGCCATATAGCTTGTGTTGCAGTTCCAAAACAAACTACAAATTCAGCTTGTATAGTGGAAGAAGTTGTGAGAGTTTGTTTAACACTCTTCCATGATATTGCTCCTCCAACTAACATGAAAATATTGGTCTGAGTAATCAATCACCTCAAGACTATCAACTCTCCTATAAACAAACATGTAATTTTTTGTTCTCTACAAGTATCTTATACCTTTTTTAGCTGTCACCCAATGATTTAATCCTGATTTGGAAAGATATCTGTCAAGAACACTAACTGCAAAAGTAATGTCAAACCTAGTACAAACATGTGCATACATTAAACTACTAACAACACTTGCATAAGGTATACTCTTCATAGACTCCTCTTCAAGATCATTCTTAGGGCATTGACTTAAACTGAATTTATCAACTTTCACAACAAGTACATCCCTAAACTTACAATTATGCATATTAAATCTTTCAAACACACGATCTATATATACCCTTTGAGAAAGTCTCAATAATCCACGACTCATATCCCGATGAATTTGAATGTTTAACACAAAAAATGCTTCCCCAAAATCTTTTATGTCAAATATTTTGCACAATAATTATTTAATCTCATAAAGTAAGCTCAAATCATTACTTACAAGTAAAATATCATCAACATAAAGAACAAGAAAAATAAATTTGCTCCACTGACCTTAAGATATACACATTGATCCATCTTGTTCTCAACAAAACCAAGAGAAATTACTATTTCATCAAATTTTAAGTATCACTGACGAGAAGCCTATTTGAGACCATAGATAGACTTCTTCAACTTGCACACTAAATATTCTTTCTCATTCTCCTTAAAATATTCAGGTTGCATTATATAAACTTCTTCACTAAGCTTACCATTCAGGAAAGCTGTCTTCAAATCCATTTGGTGAAGTTTTAGATCAAAAGGAATCACTAATGTCATAATGATCCTAAAAGAATCTTTAGCAGAGACAGGTGAAAAAGTTTCATTAAAATATATACCTTCCCTCTGCCTATACTTTTTTGTTATCAATCTAGCCTTAAATCTTTCAATTTTACCTTTGGAGTCCATCCTAGTTTTAAACACCAATTTGTAGTCAATGGATTTACATCCCTTGAGAAGTTCCACAAACTCCCACATTTCATTGTGTGCCATAGAATGTATCTCATCTTTCATGACATCTACTCACATATTAGATTGAGGACAAGTAATAGCATCATGGTATATTACAGGATCAACAATATCATCAATATCATAATCACTTTCCCCAAGGTATACATAATATTCGTTAGAAATAAAAGATCTCCTTGGTCTTGTAGACCTTCTCAAGAAAATTTCAGTAGTAGTCTCTAAAGGCTGAGGAGCCTCAATAGGAACAGAAGGTTCAATTGTAGGAACAGAAGGATCAATAATTGGAGTAAAAAAATTAACAACAGGAGTAGGTATAATACTCTCTTCCACAACAGGTAAAGGAATAGAAATAAATTTATCTTGATCATGCACAGTAATAGGCTATGAGCAACTAATATCAGCAACATCAAGTTTCAGAAAATTTGTTGTTAAGGACTCAACAATTTTAGTATCACGTGTAGGACAATAGAACCGGTATCCTTTAGAATGTTCTAAGTAATCTATGAAGAAACAACGAGTAGTTTTAGGATCAATCTTTTTCTCAAAAGGATTATAGATTTTGACTTTAGCAGGATAACCTCAAACTCAAAAATGGTTAAGGTTTGGTTTACTATTGGTCCATGATTCAAAAGGTGTTTTTGGAATAGATTTGCTAGGAACTCTATTAAGAATCTATGAAGTCATTTTAATGGTTTTTCCCCAAAGATAATCAGGTAAGTTACACCTACTCATCATGTCTTTAAGGGTGCGATTACGTCTTTCAACCACATCATTTTGTTCAGGACCACCAGACATGATATATTGGACAACAATCCCACAATCTTGCAAGTACTTGACAAACAATCTCAAATGCTGCCCAGACACGTCATGTTTGCCAAAAAACTCACCACCACGGTCAGACCTAACAATTTTGATGACTTTCCCTAATTGTTTCTCTACCTCAGTCTTAAAAATTTTACTTTTCAAGAGTATCAGATTTTTTATTAATTAAATAAATATATTCATAATGAGAGAAATCATCAATAAATATAATAAAATATTTATTACCACACAATGTACGTGAGTAAGGTCCACTGATGTCAATGTGAATAATTTCTAAAAGATCTAAACTGCGAGCTGCACTTTTCTTCTTAGTCTTGGTCAATTTACCCCTAATGCAGTCAACACAAGTTTTAAGTTCTCCAAAATCAAGGGGAGGAAAAATATTATTTTTTATTAATCTTTCTACTCTTTCTGTAGAAATGTGACACAAACATTTATGCCACAACTATGAAGATTTTTCTTTAATGAAAGATCTCTTAGATACAACATTCACAATATTTGAAAGATTATATTCATTATTAACAACCAAGTATATACTATATAGACCATTTGATAAAACACAATAATCAACAATTTTAGAATTTAAAGACAATTGAGTTTTACCATTACTAAAATTAAAACAAAATCCAATTTTATCCAACAAAGAAACTGAAATTAAATTCCGCTTAAATGACGGTACATAAAAAATATTTTCTAAAATAAGTTGAAAACCAATGTCTAAATTCAACCTAACGGTTCATATGAACTCAACATGGACTTTATTATTATCTCCTACTTTAAGCTTGGCTTCCCCTTCACTTGGTCTCTGTTTGCTTGTGAATCCCTGCAAAGTCATGGTAACATGAACAGGAGTCCCCCTATCAATCCACCAAGAACTTAATGGGACATTAACAAAATTGGATTCAAAACAAACAAAGGCTAGTAATTACCTTCTTCTTTATTCTTCTTTTCTAACCAAGACTTGAATCGAGTGCACTTACTTTTCTTATGACCTCGTTTTTTACAAAAGTAACATTTGACATCTTTTCGAATGACAACCTTAAGACCTCCTAGATTCTGACCAGTACCATGCCTTTTGAAATTCCGACCATTCTTTGGAACATTATGATTAGGTTTTTTATTATTTTCCTGATACCCACTTTTGAAACTAGATTTAGGCTAAGAAACAAAACAAGACAGTTTCACTCTTTTCTTTTCTAATTTTTTCTTCCTCAGAATCACACTTGGAGATAAGGTCATTTATTGTCCAAGACTCAGTTTGGGTATTGTAGGCAGTTTTGATTTGGTTAAACTCAGGAAACAAAGAATTAAGAGTGTGATGAACAATAAAATCATCAAGAATAACAATTTTGAAGGTTTTGAGCTTGATTTGAACATAGACTATTCTAAGGATATTCTCTAACACCACCTACATTGTCATATTTTATACTCGTTAATTCATTCATTAGACTCCTAGCTTCAGTCTTGTTGGATACCTTGTATCTCTCTCCTACAACGGTGAACAACTCCTTGACATTCTTAGTTTCAGGCAAGCCATTCATAAGGTGTTCAGAGATAAAGCTTTTCATGGCAACCATACTCAGCCTATTAAATTTCTCTCACTTTGCATAAAGTTCTTTTTCATGAAGAGAACTCTCACTAGTAGGTTTAGTAGTTTCATTCTCTTTCAAGGCAAAGTCTATATCAGCAATTTCCAAGGCAAACTCAATATCTTGTTTCCATCTCTTATAATTAGAATCAGTTAAGACTTCAATGTTGACATTATTACTATTCACAACAAAAAAAATTATACAAGACAACGAGACTATAAACAATTAGCAAATTGGGCAATAAATAAAATAAAATATGCTTTGAACATAATAAGTCATATTTTATTAAAAGAATTCAAATATCTCACTACAAACTCTCCTTTGGACAGAGAATACAATATGTTATAGGTCCCCTCTTTCATGAAACTAACTAATAAGAATGCTCAAGTTTTGAAAAATTTATCCCATTTGGACAGATAAACCTTCTACACTAGTGCGCCTTTATCACAATGTTTTATGACATCTCCAAATTACAACACACAACAACCCCCTTTGGGCAGGTAATTGTATATTATAATTTAGAGACAATCCCGTAACAAAAGCATGAAAAAAACTATAAATTTTAATAAATAGACCACTTTGGTGGCAACCATCTATCTTAATTCATAGAAATTCTCAAATTGGGATATTATAATAAATTGTCCTTAATTAAACATCATGTGATCAATCAATATGAGGTACTAATCAATATGTATCTTTTTAGATCACTACTCATCAATCGTTGCATTCAGGTCTCAATTATATTTTTACTTTTGAAAATTTAGTAATTAAATTCAAATCTACCAACATTAATAATAATATGTAGATTATAAAAAATTTCATCATATAAATTACTAGGGACTAAAATTAAAATTGTACTAACACCCTCTACAAATTATAACAATTCAATCTAAGCTACATAAGCATGAGAGAAAAAATAATTTGTATGGATAAATTATATATCTATTCGTTAACAAGACCCATAAATAACTAATAGGTATTAATAAGTTGACCGAATATATGACATAATCAAATAAAATAGCAACCCCACCATTTAATATAACACAACAATTGAACAAAACAGTTGTATACAATTTGTAGAGAAGAATAAAGAATAATAAAAAAAAAAGTTAATGACTTTTCTCTTGTGACATACTGGCAGCCATCACGATTCTTGCAACTCTTTTTTTCTTCTTCTTGTGACCTACTGGCGCTATCCACACGATTACATTAAATTATAAAAATTAATGTAATATGTCTGTTTTTTTCTCTCATGTTTAGATTTTCTCATATCTAACGAACTTTTTTTTCTTACAAAAAATACAAGAAAAAAATAAGAAAGTTGTGTTCAATAACTTTATTTCTCATTTTCCTTTTGTTTTTCTTAAATTATTCAATTAGTTATTAATTTTAAAAAAATATGTACAAATTAGGCTAATCATATAATTTGGTTTAGAGATTAAAGTTGAAGTCAATCTTTGTTCTTGAAGGAGCCAATTTTTTTAAAATTTGAATAATAAAAAATATTTTTTTCTTCTTTAAACCGAGTTAAAATAATTAAGGATAATTTAAACAATTAGAATTTTTTTTTTATAACTTTCTTTTTTTTAAAACAATGGAATGAGATTGTTTTAAAATTTTCTTATAAGTTTTTCATGCTAACCAAATAAATGTATGAAAATATATTTTCTTTCATTTCAGTTTTTATCTCTTTCACTTTCCATTATTTTTTTTGTTATGAATCAAACAGACCCTTAGATATAGATCTCTTTTACTAATTTTTTTTCAATTTTAAAAAATTCAAAAATAGATCATCTATCATTTATGGTCGAAAGACTCATTCATAAATAATGGGTGTGTGTTTTACCCTTAAATAAATTTAAAGATGTCACTCCTATTACCTTTATCCTTGAAGTCCATGTGTTAATGGAGGAGACATAATAAATCGTGGTCAACCTATTGAGCTGACCTGACCTGGACCGGGCTTGCTTCCAGACAAATCATAAGCAAGCCCGTTTGATTGTACTTTGTTCATTTCTTCATTTAATAGGGTCCAATGGGCCATGGACTTGCCACAGAATTAGACATTTTTTTCTTCAATTTTGCTAATAAGTTGATTACTTGGATATTTAATTTACGGAAACCTATGAGTGTCGAATCTAGTTATTAAAAATGAAAGGTATCTTAGTCCTGAAAAAACCCAAAATGACACGATACTATAGGGGTCAATAGACATTCTACTTGTTGCACCAAGCTCTATAAATTAGCTATTGATTAGATGGTCTCAAGCCCATCACTCCACACTTCTCTAAAGTTTGAGTTTTATGTTAATTTTTTTTTATTGACATTACTTGTTTTTCTCAATTTAATAAGTTTTGATTAATTGGGTCTCCAAAAAATAGCTTTAAGATCCATATTTTTTACGCAATGTCTTAAAATTCCTTGTCAGTTGTCTCGATTAAGCCGAAATTACTAGTGATATGGTTTAACTTACTGATTTAGTCTCATAGAATATGCATAGAAGAGGTGTATACTTATGAAAGGGAAAGGGAACACAATTGGAGAAACCAACAAAAGTATGAATGCAGAGCAGTTCAATTCTGTTTCTGTTTAGATTACATTAAGTATTTGTCTACTTTCAAAAGTGATGTAATCAACAGCAGCCACAACCACAAGTCTTCCATTGAGACACAAGAACACCAGATTATATCCAAGTGGTTAAGTTTAGAAATGTTATTCAAGACCAACTAAATAAAATTTAGTCCCAAAAAACAAATCAAATGAATTATGGTACAAAAAAGGTCACAAATGTTACATGATTGATTAGTTGCTATTACACACACCACGGAAGCTATGTATAAAAGAAAGAGTTGGTTGTATAAAGCAACTAAAAATATGAATTTCACACCCTCTACCAAGAAAGAAGGGCAAGACTGCACTCAGCTGTTGCTTCACAAAAGTCCCGGCCGCTGAAAATTTTACTTTTGCCGGGTAACACATTATAAGTTTGAGGTACTGACCTTGCAAATTCAATGGGTTGCAAGTTTCCCCACTATCCACCTATCCACCTCCAAACGCCACCAGAACTTTGTCTCTGGACTGGTGCAGCACGCTCCATATCACGTTCCAATGCAGATTTCTGTCTCCGGAGTAATTGAACCTCTTGCTCTATGGACGGCATTGACTCCAGCGTCTTCTGTAGCTCTGAGATCTGTGCCTGAGGACACAATTGTCAATCAAGAAAAGAAAATCAATTATCTCACACCACATGAACAAAAAAAAGTCCAAGTTCAAATAAAAATGTGAAAACGCTAACCCATTCCCAACATTCAGCACAGGGATAAAGTAAAGTAGTCCCCCTTGTTTGGTTTGTCTTTTTGGTCCCGGGGGGAGCCGGACACAATAATATACCGGCCTGGTATCCACAGTGGCCTAAAACCCGTGTAACAGAACACACAGGGGAGGTGGTATAAAATTCATCAAATGACCATAATAGGCCCAATATATCTGTATATATATTTAAAAATACATATCTGTGGCTTCTCTCACTAACCCAAGCCCTAGCATCGTCCCTACGAAAGAGGAGAGGTCCAAGTCAAAAAAGAAGGAGACTATCAAGCAATTTGCAGTTTGAAGCTTGGCAAGATCACCTCCGGCGATATCCACAATCTACCCAATGGTTCTGACCAATAGGTATTGTTTTTAAAATTTTGAACGGTATCGTAGCTGTGATAGGAGTCCAAGTAACACATGTTCCTGTTTGAATTTGTAAGATAAAAAAAAAAAAAAAAACTCTTTTTGGATGAGGTATTTTACCTTATTTATATTTATTTTGCACTCATTCATTTTTGGATCAGATTTTAAGATTTCGGGCACAACAATGCTCGGGGCTCTTTTCAAGATAATGTGGATGGGCTAAATTGCGGAGTGAGAGGAGCCATTCAATGTGGATCATCAGCATTTTGTTACTGTAAACTGAAGGGTACTGTTATACAATTTTTTGTTGTATGATAGTATGGGGGCCATCAAAGGAGAACTGATTGAGAATTGAAGGATATTTTAGTTAAATGATATTTTACAGGAAGTAAAGATTCCTTTCTGGACATCCACACATACTAAATCATTGATCCAAACAAGGGAATGGAAAATAATCTAGACTAATCCGAGATTGAAGCCAGTCGGAATGGATTGCTTTGGATTAGATGGTACAACCCTACATCTCTTTATCTGTGAAACAAGCATGCCCTTGGCTCACTTAGCTACTACAAGAGAGAATAAAAAAAGGGAAATACCTCCAGTTTAGCACATCTTGATCTCTCAGCTACCAGTTGCCCTTGAACAGATTGGAGTTCCTGCAGCAAAAAGTGATATTGATTACAAGGTTGATCTTTGAATGGTTGACAATTACTAATTACCAATCTATCATAGTTAGCATACCTTGGACAATTCAGCATAAGTATTCTTAGTTTCATCAATCTTAGCCATGAGATCAGAATTTTCTGATTTGACTTCAGCAAGTGATGATTCCAACACCTTTTTCTCCTCTCTAATTGCATTGATTTCAGCTGAAAGATCCCGCTGGAAGCTATTAACTTGGACTAACTTAGGATTTGAATCTTCTAGGTGGGTAAATTCCAACTTTTCAGATTTGGTTAGGGCATATGCAGCAGTAACAGAAGCTGCTGCTGCTGCGGCAGCTGGTGATTGAAAAATCTTGGGTTGTGCAGAGTCCCTTGGTTTGGGCCTCATAACAAATACCTAGAATTCCAGGGCATACAGAAACCATATCAGAGAATGCAATGATGAACTGAACCGAAATATCAGGAAAAAGAAAGATTGTCCATACTGGAAATCCAGACCAAAAAATAAATAACTAAAGGAACATTGAAGCATCAGTTTGTAAAAATTATGAAAAATACTAACAAAAATGAATGTCAGGCGTACAAAACATCAGGGGATATAGCACAAATCAGAACATTACACGAAAATAGAACCTTACATCAACATAGATGCATGTAAGACAACTCTGTCAGATATTCAAAAGCAGTCTTCTGTGAAGCAAAATTGGTTTGATTTTCCTATCATTTCAAACAATTCTTCCAAAGCAGTGCTTCCGTGAAGCAAAACTGATTTCATTCTTTTACTATGTTAAACTCCATGTGCTGCAATTTTCCCTTGCTATTATATTTGTATTATCGTGATATTTTTTACAAGAAAAGCATCTTAAGCTACCTAAACTGTTTAATGTAATTTATCTGTCAGTTAAAATGACTCCAAGTCATAAGAGGAACGATGGTAGGACAAGAATGGGAGGAACATAAACAGTTTCCTTCTTTTAGTAGGAAATAGACAAGAATAGAGGGAGAAAAGTATAAAAAACACTCGGGGAAACTGAAGCCGATGGTGTTGCGAGGTTTTTCCAAATCTATTCTGAGCAAAGATCTATTCTGACTATGGTCACTAAAAATAATAATGTCTCTTGAGGCAATTTGCCAGTTTATAGTGGTTGGCCATTGGTTCTGAGTAATCAAGTCACATCAGATAACAAAATTTTGATTCCCAGCTGAATATCTGTACTTCAAAATAAATTAACTTCAGTTGGAATAATGGTGGTACTAGCATCAAAAGCATTATGCACTCTGATCATATTAAATACAACAGTATTACAGCTGGTTATCAAGCTTCAAATCAATAGTCAGTAGTCTCATAAGATATGGCAGAGCTATTTAACATTGTTCAAAGGTAAGCTAGGCATGATAAACATTTTCGCCATGTTAAAACCGATAGTGATTCGAGTCTTTAACCTTGTATTGCAAATCATAAAAAACCCTTCACATAAAAGTTGGGCATATTAAACATTTTCACACTGGTTTTCCTAAGTGGTGGTATTAAGGTAGACAAACTTTATGTCATCACTAACAAGCACAGGAAGCACAAGAAGCACAAGTTTCTTTTTACCCGATTAATCATCATATACTATAAATCCAAGTTCTCCAAATTTCACTAAGATGTGGTGACTTGATTTCAAGATTCATCTGGAGCAGCCTTACAAGGAGCAATGGACTATGTGGTAAGATTCTGTCAGGACTGGGCATGGGATTGATCCATATACAGGTTCACAAACAAGTTGCATAATAGAAGCATTATACAGGGATTTCATTGTTTGTTAATTTATTTATGCATCACAAACGCAACCATCTAAAACCAATCAGGTAATCTATCTTCCTAACAACCTTGTATTGTCTGTGCATGTACAATCTAGTTTATATAACTGCTTCCTATTGGACTTCATCAAAGTGATTCCATATTTAAATCATTCAATTTCTGGTAAATAGAATTGGATGCATGGATAACTCGTACCAAATATATCCATCACCCTAAGAAAAAAAAAGTAGAAAGTCTGATATTAATAACTACCACAAACACCACAACAATTAGAATGGCAACAGAATCATAACAATAAGACTACGACACCGCCAACAATGAGAACATCGATTCATATAAATCCTTTCCTGAATCAAATACTGTACTTTAAGGAAAATGGTAAATGATATACACTAGACAGTCATTTAGATGCCTTACCCAAGAAACTAGTCAAAACCTCCTTTAAAAAATGTTTAATTTTCTAAATGCATTCCAACATTCCCCTTTAGAAAAAGATAAATGGCATAGAATATATGTACTATCATAAACCTTCTCCAGTTTAAATTCCATTAGTTAAATAAAAGGGTAACATGAGTAGAAGATAGTACATTTAGCTGAGATAGCTAATGAAAAATGGCAATTCTATGGATCAAGCACAATAAGATTGATGAAAGTTTTGATTAGGCACAATCAAAACAAGGATATTTTTAAGATATTATTGATGTGAAAAATTGAGCAATGGCAGCACCATGTCATATCTCATGCAAAAAAAAAAAAAAACATTTATCAACTCACCCAAAAAGCCAACTTATTGTTTCTCCTATATCTTCAATCATTTACATGCTCATACCATTTCTTTGAATGTTTTATGTACTTGCTCACAAATGTAAAATTTAAATAGAATTTATTTTTATGATAAACAAAATCATGGAGTTCATTAGATAAAAAACAGTAATGCTACAAGATACCTCATTATTATATTTTCCGTTGTAGCCACCAAAGGCAACCAAAATATTCTCGCTCTCCACAAGTGCTGAGCAGACACTGAGCCCCTGTTTCCAGTGTGCAGATATAACGTATTCACAACACAGAAATGCATACGTATTATAATAATATAATATTTTATACTCATGAATAAGAATGTTTATAAAATAAAAAGCCCTGGAATAAAATAAAACTACCAACATAAACATTGATTATTAACAAAAATGAAAGCGTTAAATATTAATCCCTCTATAGTCCACAAATTTATTGAAACTAGAAATAACATTGCGAAAAAAAGACACACTACAGGCTGGCAGCAAAAGAAAATGTGCATTTGTATGATTCAAATGTAAACACAACCCAATAAAATATTAACCATTCCAAATTTCTGTAAAGAGTCGCTAAGATAAATTTAGGCATCTTCGACCAGTTGTAGCCAAAGGCAGAGACATCATTCACATAAGGTGATGCCCAAGGTCTAAGATTTTGATCAAGAAATCAAAACTTTGACCCAAATCGCCATTCATCTTGAACCAAGCTTCAATAAATATCTTGAACCCTTTTTTCCCCTTAAATTGCCATTTATTTCCAACAATTTGAAAATTGTCGTCCTATCCAACCTATAGGTTTTTTCTAACAAATTTAATCTCTCTGAATTTAAAAAAATGTTCCATTAAATTAAATATTTGTTTGGAAAATATAATTTCTTTTTCTTGAATTCTTCTTCATCATTTGTGTGTTCTTCTCACTCTCTTCATAAGCTACACTTATAGTGCAAAAGAAATTATGTCTTCTCAATCCAAGTAAGCTCCAGGAATTGAAACTGTATGATGCTCCACTATCGAAAAAACCGCGTTGTCTCCCGGAGAAGTTTAACATGATCGACAAGAAGGAAATTTAAGAACATGTTCATGGTGAGCTCCTACAATAAGACAACATGATATAATCGTCGTTCATTAGATGTATGACTCCAAGGGATGGTCTACTATGCTAAGTTGATATAATTGTTTAAAGAAATACCTCAACCTTCATAGCCAGATCTAAATTATAGGCATACCCCTTGAAAGAAAAAATTATGACTTAGTAACTATACCCCAACATAGAAGCATTAACGGGATTGTTGGAATGCAATGTACCACAATGAATTTAAAAAGTATAGACCAACCTTTAAAAAAGAAACAAAACTTGGGAGGAAAATAGATTTCAGACGATGGACGTTTCAATCAGATGGGTCCACCTGGCAATCCTAAAACGAGGATGTACAAGTGCAAAATTCTTTCCATGTTCACTTCTATGGAATTGAACATGGGAGTAAGCATCATATATTGTTGCTCAAGATAGTGAATATAGCCGTCAAATCTGGAGATTGGTCATTACTAATACCAAATCATTCACAGAGTACGTAGTTGTGCCAGAAACCAGTAACATAAGACAGAGGACCGTTTTTAATCATTTCCACAAAAGAATCCCTTCCCCCAGCATTGATCTGCCTTTCTGCACCAACTAAATCATTCATGAAAAATAGAAAATTTTGGAATTGACATAAGCAACATTGCAAGCGACACGAAGTGGGGATAAAACAGGAAACCAATAATAGATTGTTTCCATGAAAAGGACCCAACAACGTGTTAATGAATAAAAATCATATGCTTCCTGATTCTTCAGAAGGTCAATATATACTGAGGCACGTCAAAAAAGACCACCTGACACACTGCCAACAGAAATATGTGGTATAACAAAAATCCTGCATAAAATGCCTGGGAACAGTTGATATGAAATTCACTAAACAATGAGAAGCTATTGAGTGTAGTGTAACTGATCCATGATGATGTAAAGAGTCAAACTTTTCAGCATGTGGATGTAAAAATAAGGTGAGGGCGACCCCAACAAGTTGGCAACAAGGGATTCAAATGACCATAAACAGCTAGGGATCGCTTCGTAGTGGAACTTGTAAAAGTTAATTCAATCATAAAATGAACCAAGCTTGAGTTATCAGTTGGTGAAATCAAACAAATGCAGTCAAAAAAACTAAAGATATTACATGTTAATGCCCTCAAAGTATTATTCTGTTTCTAGGAAATTGCAATAAAAAAAACGCAAAAAGAAGGGAACAGAATGGTAACCTCACTGGCTAACGGATCTCTTCCCTTTACACTTGTCAAGACTGACAAGGCAAGCTTAGACATATTTAACATGAGAGTTTCTGTGGCACCTGCAAACCGCAGTCAATAATGCCATACAGAAGTTACTGACAAAGCCTAGAAGAATGCATAATCACATCAAATAACATAACAGAAATCAACCATCACAAGTTTCTACATACCACTTTTATTATCTCCACCACCAACTATGTACCAGTTTTCATCAATGGTGACACCAGCATGACCTGCCCTTGAAGTCACCAAATCACCTTTAATTTCGGGCTGGGACCATTCCATCTGCAATATATGGGGGATAATATTGTGCTATAAGATGAAGTACAATACTGGAAGTTCACTAACCAGAAAAAAAGTAAGTTCTAGAAAAATTACAAAGGTAACTTTATAATAATATGCAAAAAAAAAAAATAGTATGCCAATGCCTGATTTTGCAGAACACATCATCCAGCAGAATTACTCAAGACAGTAAATGGAGTATACGTTCGACACATACAATTGACATCAAACTTTTTGACACAAGTTTTTTTTGACACTTAAGAGAAACATAATTGTAACGCCTCAAATTTTGCAAAACACGTTAGTTAGTAAGAAAATCATTTGATCCAAAAATCCTCACTGATTTACAACTATTTTCTCAGAAAACAAGCATTTGCTTCAATAAAACTCATCTCTCAAAATATGGTGGAGTCTGGTTTGAAAATTGTGCATTCAACAGAATGGCAAGAGCAAACTTGTGAGAGCATTACATATATAAGTCTAACTAAAGATCCATCCACCGCAGTAGTAATGCTAGCTCATATGAGTTAAGAACTTATATATACCAATTAAAACCAAAATCCTCCCATCATAGTCAAAGTCTACAATCCAAAACTCAAGTACGAAAGTGATCCATAAATTTCAACGGAAAGCTACAACCCTAAAATTTGGTAGCATAATTTGGATTATAAATGAGCAACTAAATAACTAAGCATCTAATCCTCAAGTCTCGGGCTCTCCATCACACATCCTGATCAATCTCAAGGAACCTTATAATTTGCATCTACCCATGTCTTGGCATCATGCCCAAATCTGAAAAATATCAAATAAGGGGTGAACTCAACTAGCCTGATAGGAAATCCTTTCTCAAAAACTTTTCATACCAAGAAGCAAAGAACATCAAATATCCGGCACACATGAGTGCTGCACATATATTGTTAAATATTGTTAAGTCCAATCAATCAAGTAACCATCCCCCGGAAGCTTTAGGGAGAACTAGCGATGGGAATTCTATGGTGCCACAAAGGCCACCAACGTTATCCAAATACCATTAACCATTTCTCCCAACCAAGGACTAGTAGAAATTCTGTGAAACTTTGTATGGTCCAATCATCTACTGACACCAGGGTTCAAAGTGTTGAGCGATTCTGATACGATTCGGCCGAGTTGTATCCGCTTCGGCTCTCGATATAAATTTTGTTTCGGTGCATTATTTCGGTCACCTAAGAAACATAAACGTTTCAACCCGTTTCGAAAGCATTTCGACCACTTTCGAAAACAAAATGGAAGCAAATAAAAAAAATTGAGAATTATTTTTCCAAAAGATTTGTCGAAATATATCAAAGTATCTTGAAACACCTTGAAAAATTCTGAAATAATTATGTAAATCCGACGAAACATTACAAAATACTTCGAAATATTATAAAATACCTCGACGTATTAAAATTTTGATTCCATTATTGATTTGTTTCGATCTCCTTGAAAACAAAAATATTTTAGTAGTTCCAACCGTTTCAAAACCCATTACACAAATAAAACAAGTCACACTTGAATCAATATGAATTCGGTCACAAATCGAACAACTCGTCCACACTCGGAGTCATTTTGCTGGAATCGGACGATTTGTAACCGAATCGAACGATACATCCAAAAAACGCAAAAGCAAGACGTACAAAGAGAAGAAAAGCATGAGACCCACACCCTAATTCACCAATTTCATGCAATTATTGAACTCTCAATACATAGACTTTGCAAATTGTACAAACAAAAGATTGAATTGGATGATTTCATAACATAAACCCATATAATCCAAGATATTGTAGTGAATACATATTACTAGGAGTCCCATCTGTTAGAGCGTTCAACTCAAAATCAATTGGCAACGAGTATAATGACCTCTCAAGTATATAAAGTAATATTTGTGGTCCTAATTATTCAATATGAAATACAAACTCCCTTAACACCCTCCCTCGTGTGGACCCAGACTCACACGTGGGGGTCAACAAACAAATAAACAGTCATGCATACCAGGAAATTCAAATGGGTAAGAGACTTGACCCACTAACCACCTGAAGCCTAGATCTGATACTATGTTAGAGTATCTAACACAAAATCAATTGAAAATGAGTGGAGTGATCCCTCGAGTATATAAACCGACCTTAGTGGTCCAAATATTCAAAATGGAATACAAGCTCTCTAAACACCATCTTCTTCTTCTTCTTCATGCAGATGTCGATGCTCCACTGGCCAAACGATGTCGCATTGCCTCTTCTTCTCCATCTCGCCGATGGCATCAAAGAGACGAATCTCTCATCTCTCTTATCTTCTCTTTTCTTCTCTCCCTTTCTATCTCTCTCAAACCTATTGGTAAAAAGGGTCAAAAGAATTTGTCCATATTCTAATAGTGTTGGTGGGTTTTTTATATTCTTATTTCAAGGGCTAATGTTGTCAAAATATTTTGGGTAGGTGAAGTGTTTGGTGCTAAATATATTGTTATAATATCTATATAATAAAGTAGAGCAGATTTTCAATTCTGAAACTTATCTCAAGCTTTTCACGTTTCAAATTAATTCAAAATAAAAAAGATTAAATATTGTGAACGACGTTATCCTAACTTATCTCAAGATATTGACGTCTCAAATCACTTTAAAATTGTTGATCCGACACATCAAATAAAGTTCCAAATTATTTTTCCCACATAAATTTTTTTATTTTTGGATCCCTCAATCACGCTCTCTCACTACCACCTTACCATCGTAAACCCTCGCCACCCTACCCCACCGCACCGAAGTATCTTTGCCTCCCTCTTCTCCATCTATATTCCTACATCTCTCTGCCCCCAACCTCCACCAAGCAACACCATCACTCAAAAATTGGGTATTGCTTTGGGTTTTTAGTTGTCATCAATTTTGGTGCGATTGAAAATTTGGGCATGATTAGATAAGCAATGAGTTGAAATTTTGGTGTGATTTGGCTTTGAGTGTGTAGTTCGGCTTTGAGTGTGTGGTTCATGTAGTTGTTCATAATGGGAGTGATGGTCGTGGTTCTTTTTGCCATTTGAGTGGGTGTTTTGATCTCATGTACCGCTGTCACTCTCTCCCTGTTACTCTCATTATCTCTTCTCCCTCGATCTTCTCTCCAAATCCCAAATAATCATCGTCTCCGAAGGTGACCTCACAAACCCTAACCCGAGATCATCTCTAGCCTCTAAAATGAATCCTTATCCATATCGGCTCTCTCCATAACATCCCCACGAACAACCTTGAATTCTCCTTTAACCACTCCAGTCGTTAGATGATGGTGTATCTTATTTCATATTCATCGTGTGTAGTAGCTTTTCATTAGGAACTTGATAAATATTTTGGAAGGAATCATTGATTATATTTTGTTGAGATTGGACATGATTTTTATTCATTTTATTAGGTAGGACACATGGGATGGAAATGCAAGCAACAAACACCTAGAATGAAAGGTAAATCCAACCTAAATTCAATCCTGTCTTACATGCTTTTATCTGTTCCTATGATGTCTCAATTTCTACTTTCTTGATTTTCCTTCCTATATGTTACCTTTCACTGTTGTTATATTTTTGTTACTTAAATGAAACATAATTGGCCAAGTTCAAAGGCATTCTAACTCTTTAAGAATTTTGAGAAATTGTATACATGTCGATAACGGCCACTCTAGGAATGTTTGCACATTTGGTAATATGGAGAGAGAGAGAGAGAGAGAGAGAGAACAAGGGGTTCAGTAGCAAAGAAGGGTTATATTTAGTCCATATGTCAGATGATTTTATGTGATTTATCCTGATTTTACATAGCTTGTCTATATTTTATAAGATTTAAATGATTTTTTCCCTCTGATTTTCTTTCTTTGCAGTTGAAGTTGCACTTCTGTGACTGGGAATGTATTGTCGTCTTCTTCCTATGGACATATGAATGCCTTTTGATGGTCTCCTCTACTTTAATTGATATGGTTGAGTTTCCTTCTGATTTGCTTTTGTTACAATCACTCTTGAGATATTGGGGTTATTCTATGTCATAGAAATGTATTGTTGTATTATTCCTTTGATATTTTCTGAACTGGGTGTTCTCAGTTTAAATTGATTTACTTATGTTTCCTTCTGATTTGGTGTCAACTTGAGTTGCTGATTTTTTTTTGGTTTTGTGTGATTTGGTGATTTGCGATGGTAATCGTGATTTTTCATTTGAACTTCACATGAGGCACTTTCAAGAGAAAGAGAGAGAGCAGATCAGCTACTATCTATGAGGAAAAAATATAATCTCTTACTCTCTTCTTTACCTTCTTTTATTATACTACACATGTGCTGATTTCTATGTTCATTCATATACTGTCTTAGACTCTCAATTAGAAATTCAATTTACAGATAAAGACATGATCATATCTTATAATTTTACTTATAGGTAAGTCCAACAGTAATCTTTTTTTTATTGAAAGAAAAAACAATAAGCTTTTTTCATTATACAAAGATCATTTCTAGGTTTTAGTTTTTACACATGCAATATTTTTTGCTCTTCCAAAGGTTCTTTTAAATGACTTTGAATTGAGATGATATCTTTTGGTGTTCTTGATTCATGCATTTTATATTGATTTTAATGTTTTTGGCTACTGGTCTAAAATTTTAGGATTGAATTTGTAGGAATAAAGAAACTGTTGTGACCTCCAATTTGGACATTGAGGAGCCCCAAGACCATGGGCAGAGGGAGGTAGGGGCCAGGGTGGGCACATGCCCCCCCTCAATTTTTTTTTTTTATTAGTTAGATATATGTATTATATATTTATACATATATATTATGTGTACTCTCCTCATTTATATTAGGTCCACATTATTTATCCAAAATAATTAAACAATTAAGTCCATTTAAAACAAAAAAATAGAACTCACTAAAAACAAAACTTTTAGCCCAACATTAAAAACAAAGTTGTTGGCTCAATATTAAAAACAACACTTTTGGCTCACTTGACTAAAATCTATCTTATCTTTTTTTTTTTTTTTCTTTCTGTATCATTCACTTCCAACTGCCCACGGCCCAACCACAAGAAAAAGAGAAGAAATAGAGAAAAGCTTAACACACGAGAAGCTCAGTTCCTTGAGTTTTTTTGTCCTTCCTTGCACCAACCTATAAAATTATTTTATACATTATATTATCCCCTAATTTTTTGAAAATTTAATAATGGTTCTAGTCTTTTTTTTTTTAATAAATTAGTGGACCACTAACCCTCTAAAATAAATATGTTAGTTTTAAATTGAGTAAATATTTTGTTTGTATATTGACAAAAATACAATATTTCTCTTTATCTAACACAATGTTCGTTACTTTTTAAGAATAATTTTTAGTTTTTATTTACCATTTTTTTAGTAATAGTAGTCTATAACTTAATAAAATACGAAAATTAATTTACATTTAATTCATATACAAAATTTTAGAGATTTTAAAAAATTTTATATTTTATTAAAATATATAATTAGGTTAAAATGTACTAAAAAAAATATTTTTTGTCTTTCTGTTAAGATTTTGTTTCGGCTAAATAAAAATTGAATTTACTATTTCACAATAATTTAGTGTTGATTCTTACTTTTTTTTTATTCTTGAACTGAAATTTTTTGTATTAATTTCAGCTTAATATTTTTTTATACCAGTTATATTTTGCCTCTATCATAGATATTCATGGCTCCGCCCCTGACAATATACATTTTTTTTTTGGAATTTTTTATGTTAAATAGACTTCATAAATCAAATATAATATAATAAATATAAATATGTTATATAGTGTGATTGGTTAGAAAAAAAAAATTAGAGTGCATAATTAAAATGCCCACCCAGAGCAAAATTCCTAACTCCGCCCCTGCCCGAGACGCTCTTCACTTTACCTCCAACGAAATGGTCCTACAGCAAATTAACTGTCTCTGTTCTCTATCTTGCCAAGTTATCAGATTTCAACTATTTGTGAGAGATTTGTTTTTCAATTTGAAGTAGTATACTCTACTGCTGATACCATTTTGTGTATTGCACTTTGAAGAGTATGAATTTTATGAATGGAGAAGAGAGGAAGAAAGGAATTCTTTTTGATTGATTGTAAGATCCTATTTCTCTCGTTCGTCATCCATAATACCATCCTTTTCTTTCCTTATTTTTCCTTATTTTTTCCTTCTAATGTCATACCAGTCTCAAGAAATGATGTGCAAATTTTGGTCATTTTTTGGTAGATGTGTGATAATTCTGAATGATTTGAAAATCTGAAGAGAAAAATAATGGTTAAATCAATAGTAGAAGTACCAATTTTGTCTCCAATAATTGTTCGTTGAATTTAATTTGTTTCACACGAAAAAAAGAAGTTAATTTGTTTCTTTAGGCTAATAATCCATTTTCAGTTTGTAATTGTAACATTCTCACTCTCTGTGCTAATCTGAGTTGTCAATCCCTTTCTAATTCTACATGAAGTAGAGATATAAATAGATGGGAGAGTCAATTGCCTTCGGTGGACTCTAGAAGTATCTATTTCCTTTGTTCTATTTCCTATGTTGATAGATTCTATGATTGACATTGTAAATGGTATCGAAGGCATTACACATTGCATTGCATATGCACTACATTCGTAGACATTGACACGAGTGTGAGTGTGAGTATGTGTGTGCATGAGTTTGGGTCAATTACCCCTTAGGGGAGTTGATGGGTGGACTCGAGAAGGTTGGACTTAGGTCCGACTGAGTTGCACTAGATTTTACATAAATAAATATGTCGGAATGTAGAAAGAAGGGTTAAATTCTCCTTCGAGTGTAAGGCCAGCAAAAATTTGGATACACAAATTCTGGTGGTGTAACAAGCCCGCAATGTTGTGAGATGACGGGGATAGAGCCACAGATGAAATGTCTTGAAAATCTATCTGAGGTGTGGTGTCCCTTTGGTGAAATAACATAAATCGCCCCACAAAGACACAAAAAATGAATTAATTAATCATTGGGTGTACATAGCACCAATGGCGAGGGGCTTGAAATGCCCGGATACATACGCATGATATTGCATTTGTTTTGGGAGCCGAAATGGGGCTCAATGTTGGTATTGCATGAGTGATTCTCATTTCAAAACATGGCATGATTTATGGCGTTTGTTCATGATAAATATATTTTAATGAATGCATGACATGATGTTGCATGTGACATTTTATATGTATTTTGAGTTGGAAGGTATTCTCTATAGGAGTTACCCTATTGGGCGTTGGCTCACCCTTTATAGGAACATTTTGTAGGTATCACACGTATTCCCACCAAAGGCCCTCCTATAGGCCCGCTTTGAGGATAAAGTTGGATTGCAGCTCTTATTTTTGGATGTTGTAACTTTTGTTTCTATTACAATGACCTTGTATAAATTTCTTAAACAAAACTTGTATTTAAGGAATGTATATGTGACTCTTTTGAATATTTATTCTTTTATGAATGAATGTATGCATAGATAATAGCTATGGGTTAGTATTCAATACTATGTGATTGAATATTGATGAACGGACCCGTTGTCGTCAATATTGTATAAATGCACAAGTTGTGTATTGGGTAGAGCTCCTCATACTGCCTGAATTTTGTGAAGTTATGAATCCCAATAACGGCGTGGTATCAGATTATATGGTATTCACGGGCATAGTTATCAAAATTGTACGATTCGCGATTCGATTCGTACGATTCGCGATTCGATTCGCACGATTGGGTTCGATACAGATACAAAACGATTTGTATCTTATATGACAATCGTTTTAGAGTTGAATCACACCTAAATTGTACGATTCGATTTGTATCTCACGAATCGCACGATTCAATCAATTTTTCTCAAAACCCAAATTTTTAACAAAACGATGTCGTTTTATCCGTTAAATAGTAAAACGACATCATTTTGTTTACAGAGGAACCCACACCCTAATAAAAGCTTTACCTCTTTACTCGTTTTCTCTCTGACATCATCTAAAGCTCGTCTTGCGTTGTTTAAATCTAAAGGTCACAACTAACGCTCTTGCATCATTAGTTAATTTTTGCTTATAATTCTTTCATGGGTAGCTTATTAGGTTCTAATTTTTTGTTTCAAAATGTTGGCCTATATGTTTTCTTCCAATCAATTTTTTTATTTGTTTTTTTTCATTCATATTTGTAACCTAATCTATACTAAGTGTCACTATTTTGGTTCTTGAATAGTCATGGCTATTTAATGAATTCTTTTCCTTCAAATTGTTGAACTTGAAAATGGTCAAGTAAAAGATAAAAATGAAACAAAATATTAGCGTCTTTACATTTAGACGGCATGATTATGTCAATTGATTATTTTTAGAATGTAATAATGTTCAATATTCAATATTTTATCTATTTTAAATATGTAATATTATTTTTTATTTTTGTCTAAATTTTGTGTCGAATCTTACGATTCACGATTCTCAAATTTAGGATTCCGATTCACAATACGAATAGCAATTTGACAACTATATTCACGGGTATTTCATGAGTTGATAGGTGATCAATGGGTTAAACAGGATCCCTAGAAATCAGAGCATCATAGATTCCATAAACTGGTCAGTCTCTGAGAATTTTTTTTGCTTTCATCTATTTAAGTACTATGCAAGTATGCATCAAACCCATAGGATGCTCGCTTTTTTTGTGATACAAAATGCCCTCGGGCACTGGCATTGTAAAGTATTTTAATAGAATATATTTTTTTAAATTTTTTTTTTATTCTTTGAATTCTTAAAATTAAATATGAATAGAAAATACATAGTAAAGGTTGAGACACCCAAAAGTGAGAATTTGGTGGCATAACCATAAATAGAGTAAGACTCTTTAATATACCAGTATTAGACCGACAAAACAATTTTGAACCTTTAAGAGGGACATTATAAACACGAATTAAAAGGCTCTTAGTGTAGTAGGGATAGCTGCATTAATTCAAAGCATAAGCCAAGAAGTTCAGCCCATAAGTTTCATTAAGAAAGCATGTGCAAGAACTTCAGGGCAACTGGTCTTAACATCAGAAGCAGGACTTGAGTCAGAGCAGTTAAAACAAATGCACGTTATCCCAGTTCTAATTTGGATGTGTCATTATACTCACAAAACATAAACCTAAAAAAAAAATTTACACAATACGATAATTTTAGTGTTGTAGCTAGACATTCTGTTCTCATGATAGATCAAAATGAAACCACCAAGAGTTAAGACATCATGTGTCCATCTGATTTGAAAACAAGACAGTATCTGAAATGGATAAATACTCACCGTCTCCAAGTCCAACACATGAAGATCGTTGAAAAATAGTGAATGAGAACAACCACCAAAAATTAGGAGGTAGCGTTGTGCATGCACTGCAGCTGTGTGATCAAATCTTGGAGCTGGAGGCGTCTGCCTATCAAAGTACAACACAGTGATGGGACTTTTCGAGAAGATGTAAATCAGTGGTCTATAAAGTAAATGGACACTTACGTAGTCTCCACGACATTCCAAGTCATTGTCTCAAGATCAAGAACATGAACATCATTTAGCAAACGTCTTCCCCTGTCTTCTCCACCAAACATTATAACTTTAGAACCAAAAAGGGTGACAGACTGGCCACCACGAGCTACCTGGAAAATACACCATGAGCAAACCACCAAAAAGTCCATTAACCAAAAGAATGCTAACTTCACATGTCTAGATTGAGGAAGAATGATTGAGACTCTTGTTCTCCCATCTGACTAAATAGCTAACAACTAGGAGAACATAATAAGAAAGGATATAATAAAATTGGACAATGAAGGCCAAGTAAAGAAGTCTAGATCAGAAGTCAATGAATGCAGTCAACTACCGGAACTTTTCCAGAAGTCTCTACAACACCACACTGATGTGATTCAAGATCGATGAACCGCACTACAAAAAATAAATTACCAATGAATTAATTTCAAAAGAAGATCACATTTTTTTTCCCAGGATGAAAATAGCTCTCAAGGAAAAAACCTGTCACACTATCAGAAACATTCTTAGAGTGGCCAGCAATGAGAAGAAGTTTGTTTTCCCACTTGATCTGCCAAGGAAAATATAAGTAAAGATTAATTAACCAAGTGATCACTGAGAGTGCAAGCATATCTACTTTGTGGACTAGTGAGAGTCAAATAACACTAAACAGAAAACGGTGATTATGCTTTAGTATCTCACCATACTGTGACCAGATGAAGCCGGAAGTTTTTCTCGTGTGCTACTATCTTCCACCTTATCAGCATTTGGTTCCACATTCAGTTTTACAGCAGACCATGCCAAACTTCCAAGATCCAAAACCTGCAAAATGACCAGTTACCCAGAGCCAACAAGTAAAACAGGATTTTGACAATCTGAAGTCATGTGCATGGCCTTACCTTAACATCAGATATGTACCGACCATTACGACTTCCACCGGCAATGTATAACTTATCATCAACCACAGCTGCTGCATGCTGCAATCCAACGAAAAAAGTCGGCATAGTACGACAGATGTGAAAAATAACAGAAAGGAAAGTATTATTGATACGAAGTTACAACCCAAGTCTGTTTCAGGAAACCTTTATAAACATCTACCATGTATACGTTTCTATACAGTAAGAGATCAATATTAACTGAAATCAACATGTTGGCCTTTAGCTATATCTAGTGTAGATTCAACATTAAATGTGGACCACGTGTAGGTTCTTACTTCTTAGCCATTGTTAGTGTAGAGTTGGCTACTAAAATAAAAGAGAAACTGATGCACGCTTGTCAGCATCCTTTGGTGGTGGCTGGCTGGCTGTTCAATTATTAGACATTGCAAATCATCCATCTTGACTTTTGTTCTCCATTTACAGATCTAGTTTGTCTTTAGGCAAAGCAATCATGGTGGCTTTATCATAGGGACATAATTGGATGGTCTAATACACCCCCGCTAGATGATAGGTCGAGGACGAACCCTTAGCTTGGAACAGAACAACTGAAAACGAGAAGTTGATAATCCTTTGGTAAAAACACCGGAAATCTGATCTACGGTGCATATATAATGAACGTCCAACTATTTACAAACCACTTTTTCATGGACGTAGTGGTAGTCAACCTCAAGATGTTCTGGTCAAGCTTGAAAAACAAGATTGGATCCAAGAGAGATGGAATTGATATTATCACAACAAATCATAGGTGTTGATAAAAAATTAGGAAGATTGCAAAAAAGTGATCGCAACAAGGAAATTTTAGTGGCTGTATAAGTCAATTGACAAAATTATGCTATGGTACTGGAGCGAGATACAGTTGGCTGCTTCTTTCACACTCCATGGGATTGGACTGGAACCAAGATAAATACAATAGCCTCCAGTGGATCGCCTATCCTCGGGACTACCAACGTAGTCAGCATCGGGATATGCTTCAAGTTGAAGCGAATCAGGTTGAAAGAGGAGACCATGATTAAAACTTAAGCTACCGCGATACACTTGACAGTAGACCAATGGTCAATAGTAAAAGAGTGCATATACACCTAAACCTGATTAATCGCTAGGAAATATCTGGATGAGTTAAAGTTAAGACATTGCAAAGCACCCACCACACTTCAAAATTTGGTGGGGTCAAGAATAGAAGTGTCATTAGACAAGGGCATCTTCTTCCCATTAGCCATTGGGGAAGAACATAGTTTGGCAGATGTCATGTTTGTGCGCTTAAGAAGATCCAAAGCATATTCAGATTGAGTCAAAGATAGTCCTTGCGAAGTAAAAATAGCCTCAGGACCCATAAAATAGTGAAAGCGACCAAGATCCTTCATAAAGAAATGAGACCCGAAACCGGAGATTAGTTGAAGCAGATGGGGATCGCTATTTTCTATGAGAAGAATGTCAACCATGTAAATTAAGTGAAAAATGGTTACTCCATTGCAATGATAGGTAAAAAGAGAATAGTCAACCTGAGATTCAAAAAAACCCAAATCTTCAAGATAATTAGAAAAACGCTAAAACTATGCTTGCAGATCGTGTGTCAAACCATATTGAGAGAGAGAGTGATGTAATAATACACAAGATATGCAAACATAGGGTCCTCAAAAACGTGAGGTTGACGCATGTAAACCCCTTCACTGATTTTCCATGTAGAAAAACATTTGCACATCAAGTTGGCGAATTGGCCACTTAAGATTAACAACAAACGAAGAACAACACAAATGGTTGTATGTTTGACAATTGGGCTAAAAGTTTTTGTATAGTGAAGACATTCCATTTGATGAAATCCATTAGCAACCAAATGGGCTTTGTAACACTCAATAGACCCATCCACATTACGTTTAATCTTGTACACCCATTTGTTTGAAAATAATTCATCGTTGAGGTATACTTGACTAAGGACCAAGTCCCACATTTGTGCAAAGGATTGAATTCAATGCTTGTTGCATATCTCTATTCTGCTCGTTCGATAGCTAAACTAAAACAAGTTGGTTTTAGTGCATACTTACGATTCAGTACTCAAATGTCGTCTTTGCCACGAGTAGTCATGGGATGAGAGGATGACGTTGCCAGTGGATCTGAGTCTGGTAGGATAGGTGGATCAAGGTGTGCAAGTGAATGGGGAATGGAAGATGATGTGGGATGAGGAGATTGGACATATAAGCTAGATGTTTCTCCACGAGGTGGTAGGCGATGGTAAGGTGGATGAGGAAGAAATAGTAGGAGATGGAGTGGAGTCGGATGAAATAAGCACCAGGGAAGATGTATTCGTTGGCAAGAGTAAGTTGACCACAAGCGACCAATAAGAAAAATTGGATTCATTGAACATAACATAACGGGACAAAAACACTGGTCCTTTGTTGGGGTGGGTCTAAATACCGATATCCTTCATGATTAGAGAATATCCTAAAAATATGCATTGTTTGGTATGAAACTGAAGCTTATTGTGATTATAAGGACGTAAATACGAGAAAGAAGCACACCCAAAAGAACAAAGCGAACTGTAATCAAGATGACACTTGAAAAGTTTCTCATAAGTAGAAATATGATGCAATACTCTGGAGGGAAGACAATTTATAAGATAGACAACAGTATTCCAAGTATCCACTCAATACGAAGAAAGTAACCTAGCTTGTGCCAAGAGTGTGAGCGCAATATCCACAATATGTTTATGTTTTCTTTTTGCGATCCCGTTTTGTTCAGGAGTATGAAGATAAGACAATCGATGAAATATACCCTGGGGGCAGGAAAGCGTTGAAATTCATTATTAGTATTTGTATTGCCATATTCACCATCCTCGTTAGTTTGTAAAGACTTAATTTGACACCCAAATAGATTTTCAACATGAGATTTAAACTTCATAAAATAAGCAAGAGTTTCATGTTTAAAGTGCATGGGAAAAATCCAAGAGTACTTGGAGAAATCATCCACAAATCAACAATACTTAGAGTCTCTAACAAAATAACAAGATGTTTAAGTATCAGAGTGAATCAAAGCCAAAGGTTTAGTAGAGGTAGGAGGAGATGCCTGAAAAGGCAATCGGGAACTCTTTCCCAATGGGCAATTATAAAAATAAAAAAAAATTCATTTGATCCATTAAAGGCAAATTATTTTGAGATACGATACGCCTAGATATTGGAAACACAAGATATGCATGACAATGATGCCAAACAAGTTACGAAGCACGAGCACCAAACAATACAACAAGATGTTGTGAGTTATTATGAAACGGGCACCAATTGATGGGAGATAAAGGCCATGATCTCTCTTTTCCTTGGAAAAGAATCTTTTGTATAGACTTTTCCTTCACACAAAAGAACAATAACGTTATTTGGACATAATTTACTGGCATAATCTGCTGACCTAATCTATCATAACCATTGAATTGGTTGTGGATTCTAACAAATATTAGAACCTAATGTCAATTCAATGGGAATGAATGACTAGGTCAACAAATTAACCATCAGAGTCAAACACAAAATAACATTGATTATCTTTGAAAAATTGATTAACAGATAGCAAATTAGTTAAAACGAAAGGACAACGAAGAACATTTGTCAGAGTGAAATGAGAAGAGTTATGAAAAAGTTGAGAAGAGCCAATGTGTGATATTTCCAAACCTAACCCATTTTCAATTGCAATTTGATCCTTGCCAGCGTAGTCATTATGAATATCTAAATTTACAAGATCGAAAGTAATATGGTGCGAAGCACCACTATCTTATCTGTGTATCAAGTTTGATTTTCAGAATGCACTTGGGAAGAAACAACCATTGCTAACCACTGCTACAAGTTGTCTAGTAGGAACACGTCCTTCGTAGAAATGGTACATACAAAGATATCAATTTATGGCAGAGTGTCTTAAACATCTACAAATCTAATAGGAGTTCCACGATTGGCAAATGAAGATCTCATTTCAAGATTTGAAGAGGTTTGGAGAGTCGTGACTAATGGAAGAGAAGCATGGGGCCATTGATTAGTAAAGTTCACACGGCCACAGTCATGGTCACGACCATGACCTCTACCCTGTCCTCGTCTGCAAAAACCTAAAACTGGTTTGTGTGCTAATAGTGTAATGTGAGTTGGTTCGACTAGCAACGTGTCATGTGCCTCGAGTCTCATTTCAACACTTAATAAGAGGGCAATGAGATCATCGAGAAATACTAGAGTATCTCATGCTTGTATAGCGTTGAATATGACTTCATATTCAAGTCCCACATTATTCATAATCAAAATCAAAGTTACCAAATCCTTATCATCAACAAGTTTTCCCACAAGTGGTAGACTATCAGCAATATGTGTAATTTTGTCAATGAAATCACTAATGGACATATTTCCTCATTTGATGCCTTGCAACTCATTTTTCAAGTGAAGAATATGAGTTTTGGATTGGAATGCATAGCACTTTTCAAGAGAAAGCCAAACAACACAGGAAGTGGACAAACGAGTCATTGTAGATAGCATAATGGGGCTAAGTGTAGCATTGATTTAACTCAAAATAGTTTGATCTTGCTGCTCCCATTCCAGATAAGCTGGTTTGATTATGGATTTCTCATCCTCATCAACTAAACATTCCATCGGAGATGGGTTTGTACCTTCAACAAAACCCATCATTTTTTTACTTTTAAAAACAGGTCAAAATTGTGCCAACCATAAGACATATTATTTAGATCTAGTTTGATCGAAAGTAAGTGAAAAACATTAGACAAACTGGGTATCACGACCTCAATTGAAGTCATAGTTGTCAAATCGCGTATCGGAAGACGTATCGTTTTTCAAAAATAATATATCATATTGTATCGTGTATCGTAATATACACGTAATTTTAATTTTTAAATAATTATTAATAATATATATATATATTATTAATATATATATATATATATATATATATATATATATATACACCTTTGTAAAAAAGTCATAAACTCATAATAATATAGCATTTCATTAATATTCCACCAACTATTCAAGTTCTTAACATAGTTCAGTAATATCAAAATGCAAAAACCTCTAATTCAAACTTCTAACATCAAC